TCAAGGGTACCCCAGGACCTCCCTTAGCTACGCCCCTGCCGCTCTCGATTTCTATTTAGACAATGCAGTATTTCTGTCGAGGAACTATCGGCTGATAGTTGCCCATCGGAAATTTGATGTTCTTAAAAACAAATATTTGACTGAGAAGCGAAAGTGTTTAGTAACACCTTAACATGTAAAGACCTATCCGACTCAGCATGTTGATAGAATTTGTAGCAACGAGTGAGGAGAAAAGAAGATTTCTTCTAGCTAGTTTAAGTTCTGAACGCCAGTGTATTCAAGCTACGGGAAGACCGACGAACACATGTATAATTTGCAATTTAAATTTAAACTTTGTCATCATGTACGCACTGACTGCTGGTTTTATTGCGACTATTTGATTGAATGACTTACTCATTGCAACTAAGGCGGGATATTTTTTTTTTCCTGACTGGGATAGAAAGGGACGGGTAGAAGGTTCCGGTATAGTTTGATTTGCATCCCAAAAAGTGTATATATAATCCTCACACGTAGAAAATAAGCTCAAAATATTCACCGTGGTACGGGCGGGGAGTGGTAGGGGGGAGAAGGAATCTCCTTTGTAGTACAAGGGGTAGAGTTGGAATCTTCCGCTCATTTGGTAGATAGGTCAGCTAGTTGTGACCTTTAGACTAATGTTCCCTGCAGAGAGTCGAGTCAGCAGGAAGTCAAACGGGCGAGAGATACGCGAACAGGGTTCACAGGACCAAACGAGAGATCAGACGAAAGAATTAGCCAGAGCAAACTTTCTCGCAAACCCGACTTGGGTCGTCATGCTACGCCTCTCTTTTGCGCGCCGACCGAAGTAACAGCTGCGAAGGAAACTGCGTCTCCAAGGGAAGTTGGTGGAATTTTGGATTTCTTTTATGGGTTGTGAAATCTCAAAATCTACCAACTCGGATATCTCATATCGCTCTTTTATCTCTTTCGTAGGCCCATAATCGTTTTATTTATTTATTTATTTCATGTTCATTTACATTACTATTCTCTTCATGCAAGTAACTTGTAAGGTGATAATTAAGCTCTCTCGGCCGGCGACCAATACGATTAGTTTGGTTTTACTGGCTTGCCTAATAGTCCAGTTTCGAGTTCGCCATGACCGCTGATTAAAAGCACTAAGAACGCATTTGCACAGGGATAGCCTCGATCTAAAAAAAAAAACTATTCACAAATACCGCTGGGAAGGTACCACAAATTTGAAAATTAAACAATACACAGAGCTGTAAATAGATCATATTCTCACTGGAATTTGTGAATATTTTCCTTTAGGTCGAGGTTAACCCTTTGCAAATGCGTTCTCAGTGCTTTTAATCAGCGGTCATGGCAAACTCGAAACTGGACTGTTCCTTTAGGGCTTTCTCCTAGGCCTTCACGGTCAATTGATTTCAGTGACGTATCCGAGACGAACGACCGCCTCGGACCACGTGACTCGAAAACGATTGAGCGTGGCGAAATATCGAGGCCTCGGAGCTAGGCAAGTTTTAGTCGGCATAATGATTTCCTGGAGTCAGTTATACGTGATTAGGCCCGGGGGACCACCAGATTAAAAGGACGGGAATGCTCGATGGAAATTTTGGTAAGAACCCCTAAGAGAGGTGACCAATCTCGTTGCCAGGGGTTTTCCCTTGGAGATTGGGAGGGCCCCCCCCCCTACCCCAATCTTCAAGGGAAAAGCGCTGGCAACGAGGTTGAGAGGTACCAAGATCCTGTTTTGTGGGCGTGGTTTAATTTTTTTTTCACTCCTTAGAGGTACCAATTCTAAAACAAAACATGATCTCCTGTCATATTTTTTCGGCTCAATATCCTAAAAGGTTCCGCAAAAACTCCCGATGTAGTCCTTTTGAGGCTGAACACCCCAAGAGGTAGTAAAGCCGCTTTTTTAACCCCTAAAAGGTACGACGAACACCTCCGTCCTTTTTATATGGGAGTCCCCCAAGTGATTAAGAGCAAGTCTAGGCTCACGAAACAGCATGAAAACTGGTAACGCAACTTGCTCGCAAATCTAGACGCCTCAAATTGGAGCAATTATACCGGATTATTACGATACTATTCCTGCATTTCTTAGCATGCTCGCATATCCGTGAAAAAAAGCGTGCTGAACCATATGAGTGCAGGCCCAGGGTTACGTCAAAGGCAATACATTTGACTTTGCGCCTATAGCTACAAAGCGGAAAGCGGCTTTCAATTATAAAGAAAGTACGGCTTCTTGTCCGATCAGCAAAGCAACTCAGTAATCGGATTCTCATTTTCATTCCTTTTTTTTTTTCGTTCTTTATTTTTCCAGGCGATATCAGTGATTTTTTTCTTTTTTTGTTACCTTCTGAGAGAAAATAAATTGTCCAAAGTAGGGTCATAATACCACAAGGACAGCACCGTGTCTCGTCCGCTCAACAAAGTGAAGACTTGTTCGGCGGTGTTCATGCTTGGAAGGGTTACCAAATACGAATACACCGAGTCGTAATAACTTCTTTTTTTTTTCCTTTTTTTCTCTTTTTTCGTCCCTTTCCAAGGCGATATTATCCGCATTTTAAATCAAAAGCTACACTAGGTGACCGCTCTTTTACCTGTACTCCACCGAAACTTTGGAATGCGCTACCATTTGACATAAGAAGCGCCAGCACTGTTAGTATTTTTAAAACCAAGCTAAAAACGCACCTGTTCCGTCATGCATTTTTATCATAGTTGTTTTTATAATTGTAAGTTTACTTTTAATTGTAATTTGAGCTTTTTAGCCTTTTTATTCTGTTTTTAATCTTGTCATGCGCATGTGAACATTTTATGAAATTTGCGCTTTATAAATGTTATTATTATTATTATATTAGTGACTGCTGAACTCCCAGTCTTGTGTTATGTCTTTTTTTTCTATTTATTAACTATTTTGTTCAAATCATTTCGCCATGTGAGTTCCCCCCCCCGGGGGGGGGGATTCCAAATGTCTAACAGGAAGTAAAGGAGTGGAGGAATGATGGAGTGGAATTGTCCCACCACTACAACTTCTTTCCAAGTTAAAAAGGATGATTTCGCGTGGGTAACTAGTGCCAGTCCCAAACCGCGCGTCAGAATTTTAAGTCCCTAAAACTTGAAAGATAATGAATCAGAAATAACTTAGCCTTCTTTATAATCGTACATATAAAATAGACCTCTTTAGCTTGGGCGGTTTGTTTTCCCATTGCAGACCACGTGATAATACTCTTGAGAATTCTTGCTTTCAAATTTTTAAATAGTAGCATGTATATGAATGAATAACTTTAAGATCGATTAAAGAAAATTTGTCTAGAGATTATCACATGATCTACAATGGGAAAACAAACCACCCAAGCTAAAGAGGTCTGTTACTATTGACACGTTAAAGAGGAAAGCTATTGTAGAAAGTCTGTTAATATGGGTTTTTGCAGGACTCTTCAATAAAACAAACTTGTACAAAAAGGTTATCCTTAGAGGGTTAGAAGGTCTGGTTTTCACTTTTTAAATTAGATTAAGAGTTTTTTAAATCCTTTTAGCTCCTTTTAGATAATGTTACAACACCTTATTATCCAATTCGGCTCTATTACAAGTCAAGTGGTCGCTTACAGGAGGTTAAAAACAAAAGAAAATTTAAAACTTTCACTCCAAAAGTGGTCGAGGTCACTTACGAGAGGTCGTCACTTACAAGAGGTTCCAAATATAGTGATCTGACTGGGAAACTTTTGGTATTTTGGAAAACTGGTCGCTGAGAAGAGGTGGTCGCAAACTGAGTATAAACATTCTTATTAGAGTTACAATCATTGATGACAATCTGATGTAACACAAGACAACATCCCTAAGGTTATTATTTTCAATTTCTTAATTAATCCTTGCCACATTATCTTACAACACATCATTCTTGGGAAGTTTGGGCACGAAGAAGAGTAAAATAATATGACGCACGTCTATGAAAGTATTTCGCATTTATCCAAAATCTCCCTTGGCATTCTTAAACAAGAAATTCTAAATACTTCACCACTCCGGGGAAACTTGGTGCAAAATTTCCACTCCCTTGTAACAACATCATAAATCTGCAGAGACACATCTTCTCCAAAGTCACCACTCACAAAAATGTTTCCTTTGAAACTCACTGCACTTGCATACCCTCCTGGAGTAACTGTATTTGCAATGCTACTCCACATGTCAGTTACTGGGTCATACATTTCACAGAAGCTTGAGCGTGCACAATCTTCACCCCTGAGGCCACCAAACACAAATACTTTGTCATTGACAACTGCACCACAAGCAGCCACTCGTTTTTCTAGAGTTGGGGCAACCAGGCACCATGCCTTTTCGTTTGGATCAAATTTTTCAACAATGTTTGCAAGTTCAACATCTGATCTGCCTCCAATAGCATACAAGTAACTTTCAGTGGCTACTGCACAAACACTTGACCTGGGACTACTTAGAGAGGACACC